AACCATAATGATTCTATGATTCTAAGCTAAAACATGACCACTTCTAGATATACTCACAGGTTCTCCAGGCTCATTTCCACCTAGAATCCTAAATCCAAAACCGGTTTCCTTTCTCCATAGAAAGATATCCTGCTCCTGGTAATCTGGAACTGAAGGGAAAAAAGGAAAACTATAATTTCTAATCAAAACCCCACACCTTTATACCCAAATCAGGACTACTCTGATGTACATGTAGAGAGATCTGCTGCACAATTTTACTCTTTAAATAAGGCAGTCTTGAATTTTTAGACATAATTAAGAACATCTATAGCCTTAAATGCTAAAGGACTATTATTTAAATCACTACTAAAAATTATACAGTGGTTTCTACTCTCTAGGTGTCTAATTGTGACTTGCCATTTGTTTATCACTATAATATTTCCTTCCATCAATATTAGCATCATTACCCAGTGCAAGAGCCTCTTCCAAATCATCAATAAATAAATGTGTACAACAGAGAATTACTCTGCCAGAAACAATACAGCTGCGTCCTCTTTCATGGGAGACAAAAGAGCCACTTGTTATGACTTCTACTGTTTAATTAACTTTCACAGGCATAGTTTGCTATCTGTCTACTGACACTGCTTTAAATAACTATGGGACAGATCCCCGGTTGGCGTAAAACAGAAGGGCTCCACTGAAAACAATGCAGCTCTCCTGACTCTCACTTGTTCATATATGGGCTCTGTAAAACCACTGAACAGATAAAACCAGCTGGAAACATAAAAAAGACCAACCTTACCTACTCATTAGTATGGAACACTAGCAAGGTTTTTACAATGAATATTACATACAGCGAAATACTAACCTTGAAGTGTGGTTGAACAGTAATGTTTTATATTAACTTATTCATGCTTGCGTTCATTCCTTTTTTAAAAATGCAAAATTAATTGCTAACATTAAATCATATCAGAAGACAACTTCAAGTTCATTTAATATTTATTGGTTTGTACCTGTTACTTTGAACAATTTTGTAATGATCCCCTCCCAAAATTTATAATTAACGATAAGAAAAACTGTTCCTTTACAAGTCAGCTGCCTATATCTTTAGTAAAGAAACCCAAGTATATAATTCAGGAATGTGATTTAAATAACTGCATAATCAGATACAGGATGCAGCCCGTTTAATGAAACATCGTCTAGTTTTCTGTATCTATAAGCAGATAAACTGGTTGTTTTCCATTGACATCAGTGAGTGTCAGATTGAGCCCTAACTGCATTTTACACTGTCAGTGCCTGTTGCATAAAAGTTTGGGTCTACTCATCTGGTGCTTTTCAGTGTTTGGAGTTTTGGTTAGTTCTGATGCCCTCTCTTCAATGACTCAACAGGTTTAAAATACAATATGCATTTAAGATCTGAGAATGCTAAAGATTAAGAGAACAGGTGAGTGCTAAGGCACAGATGTCTGCTTTGACATGCTCATTCAAACTGATTTTATATATAATATTTTCACAATTACTTGCAGTTATAAACTAAGCTTAAGACCCGTGCACATTATCTTAATGAACTAGAGGCTAATTTTTGTCCAAATACAATTACAGAATAACCAGGTGATGAATACGCTGGAAGCCCACGTGGTTCATCTGTTCAGGCGAGCCGGCCGAAGGCAGCTCGGCACCATACAGACGGGCGGCACAACAGCAGACCTTAGACAATGAATTAATTGGTGTACGTCATTGCCTTCAGCAAGGGGGAGCGTGAAGAGCTGACATATTCAGAAGCGTCTCTCCAGCACTTCACAGGCTTTTTGGCAAAGGCTGGCCCCAACCAATTAATAGCGCGTGTCGGATCTGTCAGAGGCAAAATGGCTTCTGCAGAGAGCTTCAGCGTGGGCCCGTTTCCTCGGCATCTCTCAACACCTTCCCATTTGTCAGCTCTCCAGTCTCACTGAACGATGCCTTATGTTCCTGGTTTGGGTACCAGCTAGCCAATTAACGGCCGCTGGAGATAATGGCAAGCTGAGGTATAACGGCAGTGTCAAACCAAAGCAACAAAAAACGACAAGCCTATACCCAAAGAAGCAAGTTCATTCAGGTAATGCTCCTTCTGCTGGAAGGATTACAGAGAGGTGAAACACAGATACAACAAACATACAGACAACACACATTTATTTACACAGTGCGAGTACAAACCGAACAAAACTCCTTTTACCGCTTTTTGCGCCAGCTCTGCACTATGGTGATTCCCTGGCACAGGACTGGAAACCCCATCCACCTCTGTGCTTCCATACAGCTGAGGTGGGACCCCCTAAGGCTCTCCATACTGGAGAAATACTTTTGATTCTCCATTATTCGGTAGCACTTCAGAGGAGCTGCTTTCCTTACTTAAAGGGAATATTTCATGGTGGTGCTGAAACTTTGTTGAAAACAAATGAGAAATGGTTTCCAGGAGTCATTCATTGCATCTTTGCACTGTGACCTGATCTCAGGCATGTCTGACTTTCTCAAAAAATGTGTAGGTGGCCTAAATGGGTAAAACCTGCCACTCTGCTCATCCTGAATTAAACCAGACCATTTGAAGAGTGTCGCAAAAGTGGTAAGAAGAGTTCTGCTGGGGCTGTGAGGAGGAATGGAAGGGGAGGCGAGTGCCACAGCCCCATCGATGAGCCACACGGGCAAACTCATGAACAACACAGGAACATGATGCCCCCCCACCGCCGCCTACGAAATCCGCCACTAGCCAGTACACAGTAAAACAAGTACTTTGCACCTTCGTGGCTAACCTTGGCGTACGGCCCTGCCAGACTCCCTTGGTGATGAAGAGCCCCCCGCCACAGAGCAGCAATGACACCAGAACAAGACATCACAAGACACAGATACATTCTCGGCACAGTCTTACATTCTCCAAAACTCGTGGAATTGATTTCTCTCTCTCTCTCACCCTTGCTCAGTCCAGTTGCAGGCGAAGGTGACATAGCTGTAATATTAATTTTACAATTTTGCAAAGCTTAATGTATCTGCTTTCTTGTTAGTTCATTTAATTAATTTTGACTGTATGGATCATGTTAGGCTTTCATGCATAAATTGCTAAGGTTATAGCTACTACAGATTACAACATACTAACTTTCACATCTATTTGCACATGCCTGTGTACATGTGGATATAGAATGCACACACACTAATTTATACATTTATGCACATACATGCAGGTGTATTTGAGGGACTCTTTTTCCTCCTCAGAGGAAGAATCTCTTTGAGAACACCATAAAAATACTTTTCTACAAAAAAATTTCCACTATCATGACACAGTCAGTTTTCCAAATGGAAATACCCTTTTCTAACGCTAAAAGAAATTCTAAATACATGGTGATGAACAATGAACATAGTGCTTAATTAGAGGTCATTTTAATCAAACTTTCCTATACAAACTTTAACAATTATCTTACGTGTTATATATAAAAAAAACCCTCTGCTCAGTGTGATATCAGTTTCAACAAAAGATGGATTCAAAAATAATCAGTATGAGTTTGCTTTAGTCACTAGCTCATTTGAGGCAGCAGCACCTTCAATGACTCATAGCTTGGCAAAGTAGAAAACTTTTAAGGCCCAGATTCAGCAAAGTATATACAAACAAGTATGGAATGAAGAGTGAACAGTCTCACTGAAGCTGATGGAGAGTTTCAGTGTTGAAAAGTCCTGTGATTTAGGCACAAATCTCATGAGATTCCATATTTGCAGGAAAGCCCTGTTTTCTAAACAATCCCACTGCAGGTGAATTCCAGTTTTTCCTGTCTTTTCCTTTTCATCAACCTTTCTGGTGGCATGGAAAGCTTTTAAAACATGGCTTCAGCATGTTCTCGACAAGATGACCAAGTTCTGCTACTGAGGTTTGGGGAAGGCGTGATGCCTCTCAACTAAGCCATGGACCAGGCTGGTGCCAGATGAACACCAGCAAAATCTGCCCATCACCCAGCTCCGTAACAGCTCGGCAGCCTCTGCTGCTCACACAGCGTGCTGTGAGTACCACCGTTCTTTTTAGCAAGACATTCTCTAAGGGCATGGACGCATCTGTGTGCCCAAGTGTATGACTATAACTGCTTGTCTCTTATTACTGTAATAAAAGGACATAACCCTACCCAAGGGGCTTTTACTAACTATCACCTTGAAAGTCAGTCTGATCAGAAGGTGGCTGCAATTTCCTGAGAGTATTTTTCTCTTCTGTTTTAGGGAGAAAGTACCTAACGTTTGGTATCATTGAGCAAATATTTTTAATTCTATGTAATTGTTGGTGAGTGAATGCTACACACTGGGGTTGAGACTTGTTTGTATTATTTTAATTAGATTTGGGGAGACAAAATCCTACCAAATAAATTATGTGCCTGAAAATAAAATTCAAATATTAATGATAACTTAGAATATTTTAAAAGCTTTAAAAATTATCTATCGTGTTCTGCTTTACTTTTAATTAAAGGCTTAAGCCCTTCAAAGGGATTCATTAACACATCTGCAATTCAGATTAATTCATTTTGTCACTGCTGTTTTGACAGATGGCCATATGTAGGATACGGTATTTTGCAAAGCAATCAGACCACATGAGAAAAATTTGACAACAGAATGCGTTAATCTTTAAGGAAGTTTGATAATACATTGAAAAATAAAAAGCATACTATAAAAATATATTTTCAAATAAAACAGTGTGAGATTTCAGAATTGCGGTTCTCTGATAAATTACCCAATTGCTGTTCCTCTCACTGAGTGCTCTTCACGTATGTCATGCCTGGATCTTGGAACCACTTCAGTTTTTAAACCTTAAGGGTTTGTCTTTCTCTCTGATTCATGTACACAACTCCCACTAGCAGCAATGAGCTACCCATAAAGAGGAGCTCAAGCAGCTGAAACTTAGCACCAGCAAAGAGTGTGTTTGTTATTGCCACCGAATGATCTGTTTTCAGATTCACTTAACACAAAGCCGGTTATTCTCAAAAGTCTTAATCCAGCAAAGAATTGCGACTCTGGGCCAGATTGCAGCAGAGCATTTGAGCTCAGCCTTAGCCTTAAAGCATGCAAGTCCCTTTGGGTTTACAGCTTGAGAATAAGCTTCCTTGGATCAGAGCCCAGGCACTCAGCACCTTGCAGGCCTGATCCCCTCACCCAGGGGAGCTGCATGTGAAGGAACTTTAGCCCACATTTTTTGAATAAAGTTGTGGTTCTCATCTGTTGTCACTCAATCAGAGTCCAGACACAGTAACGGAGCCATTGCTTAGCTTTGCATTGTTAATGCTAGCTTATTTTTTCTCCTTTTTTTTTTTTCTTCCCCTAAACAGGCAACGTCTGTGGCTCTCCTCTGAAGAACCCAGAGTACTTCCTGCCATTAAGATGCATTGGGTAAATCAAAAAAATACACACTTTTACAAAATTATGGGTTATCTGGTGCTTTTGAACCAAATTCTGCTCTACCAATGGCTTCAGTGAGACAAGTCACATAAGTCAAAGATAGTCTATTTTAACGAAATACTGATCCAAAGAATACTCAAAGAAAGGAAGAACACATTTTACCAATTCTAAAAAATTAAAATGTTGCCTGTGTGCTTTCCATGTCTACATTACTATTATTAATGTTAATAACAGTGGGATGCACTCCCAGTGAAAAAGGCCATAGGGGGTCATTATAGATTCAGTACTACTTAGAAATATCCTGGAGACGATGTATTCATATATTGAATAAAACCTCTTTATATTATTATTTTTAGATGAAAAAAAATTCTGTCTGGGTTGAGGCTAATGAATTCATCTTCTTATGTCAACTGCACTTGAAAAATTGCACTATGTTCTCTTTATACTCAACAGTTTCACAAATGGGACGAAATAAAACACTTAAGATGATCTAATGCTCTAAAATTCTGTCTTTTTTAACTTCATCGTATACTTCAACACAGAGGGTTGTTACTGTTTTTCAGTCCACTTGTTCGGGATTCAAAACCCTGCCTCTCAAAAGAACATTTTATAATCCTTTTCAGGTTTATTAAAATTTAAGGCTGTGAATCAACAGAGAGCAAACCCCGGGACTGGGCAGCAGGGAGAGCTGAGAGAGCTGAGTTGGGGCTCCTTGGGCAGCGGGGGCTTGTAGGACCCATCAAAAGCCCCAGTTACTGGATGCATCAGCCAATCTCACTGGCATTAGGGTGGCGTCCTCCTGCTGTCCATTAGATATTCATTTAGTTCTGCTCATGCCTTCATCGGAAGAACGCAGAGAGAGTCACATCTAGCACCCAAAGCTATGGATGTCATGGGAGAGGGGATGCTAACGTTGTTAGAGAAAGAAGAAAGCAACGATATGACTGTGTCACTGCCAGCCAAAGACAGCACTGGATTTAAACTGAACTGCAATTTGGTAAAAACACGAAGAACAGCACATGTGGAATAGACAGACAGTGAAACTGGAGGTCCAGGGAATGGTTTCTCCCATCCCGCAGTCTATGATGCTCCATGTCAGCAGAGCTCCCTACGAGTGGTCCAAGAGCCACACAGCTGGTGCTTGGGCAAACACTGGGAATTGAGTCTCAAAGGGATGATTCATGTTCATAACAGAGCAGCTACCAATTGCCCGCTTTTCATGCAGACCAAACACAGGGAAAGAAACATGGTGGTTCACCCCAACCTCCCAGGGCAGAAGAGGTGTTGGGTTTCAGCGTTTCAGCTGTGAACCACAGGCTCCGTTTATGAGACTGATAAGAGGGATGAAAAGTGAGGGCTTGGTGAGGGAAGGAGCTGACCACTGACCTTTAAATAAAACTACCAGTCACGCTTGGGATCAGACCATGGCAGGAGACAGAGCATGTCCAACTGCCCTTTTCACTTAGACTATATCTTTCCTGTTTTTCTTCACCTTTCCTTAGGCACAGCAGAGCCATGTCACTAGGCAAGAGTGTAGGTTAATCCCCAGGGAGTTTCACTCCATCTTAGGGTCAGAAATTCATAGGTGCTTGGACACTTCTAGTGGCACATGCTTACAAGGAGGCACGACCTTATCGCACTTCTGCCATTCTCCAAAAACCCTCTATCTATGAAACCAAGAAATCTCCTCAGAAAATATCTTCCTGGGAAGGAAATGGCAATGGGACGAAAAGGCAGTAGAAAAGCACTGATGTTCAAACAGGTAGGCCTCATCTGGTAGAAGAGGCAGGAGATAATGACTGAAGCAACAGAAGAGGATCAGCCCCACTACAGAGATGCTGGACCATGGAAAGGTGAGAGAGGGTAGCTGAAGGAGTGTAGCAGAACCCAGTCTAGCAAAAGGCCCAAGCAGAGAGGACTGTGGCACAGGGAGAGGAGGGGTGTGGGAAACTAGCAAGGTCAAGAGACAGTGAAAAGGTCTCTGGAAGGGCTCTAATTACAGACAAGGATAAAACCTCTACAAGATACCCACAGCCATCGAGGAAAGAGGGAGGATCTAGCACACGGTGTTGGAGGCAGACACAGAAGGGTGACTGCCTGTCTGCGCACTTCAGGATTTCTCCGGCTCAGCCTCGGGCTTTATCGGGAAAGACAGGCAAGAGTTAAGGCTGCTAAGCTGATACTAATGACTAATTAGTATGAGTTAAATGGTTAATTAGAAATTAGCTAAGTAGCTGCAGGGGGTGAGAGGTAATGCCAGCACAGTGCCCATGGGAACCATGTGAGCTAGGCAGGGGTAACGCTGGTGCCAAGGGACAGCCTCAGCCTTGTCCATCCGGGCAGGAGAAGGAGGAGCTCTGCCCACAACTCTGCAGGGCTGAAGGGTCACCGTCCCTCAGCTCTTGCCCCTTTCTCCCACTTCAATGAGATGTAGGTGCAAGTTCCATCACCGCACTTCTCTGTAGATCAGCATGACCTGGCACAAGAGCCCGTAGGGTCAGTATGCCTAATTTCGGGAAGGGAAGGGAAGCAGCGCACAGAAGCCAAGACACCTACAAACTGCATTGCTAAGACATTCAATCCGAAGAGATGTATCTTCAGCCAAGAAACTGTGACTGATGATTTAATTTTTCCAGGACATAAGATTTCAAAGTGATTCATTTGGTCAGAAAAAAACAGTCCTACCATTTTTCATTCTGGGGTAATGTTCATTTCATATTGGTTTTACCAATTTCCAGTTAGCACAATAAAATCAAACTCCAGGTGATACTCTTACAGTATCAAGACTTTGAAGCTCCCTTTTCTGTTACTAAACTACTGCTTTTGAAAATGAACCTAATACCCTAACACTTTCTTTAAGAATCTTTTACAGATTCCATTGTCTTCAGCAGTGCAATTAAAGCAAAGCCAGGGTGTTTATTTTGTTTGCAGAGAAGAAACTGATTGAAATAATATTTATAGTCTTGGAGCAGACTCAAAGCCCTGCTGA